CAGACGTCTAGACTCTCGCAGAGAAGACATAGTTTCCATATCCTAAGCCTTCATTAGAGCAAGAGTTACGGGAGCGCAGGAGTGCTACCCTCCAACCTAGAAAGGTTTTTTCAACAATTTGTTCCACTTCTTTTTTAATCAAATGTAGGGTTTCTTATGTTGAACTAAGTCTAAGCTATTATTATAACTTGTTAGTTAGTTACTTCATGTGCACATCCACAATTCGACGATTTGGTAGACAAAGCATTCCTCTGAGAGCCCTTGGTGAATGTGATGCTTTTTTGAGGCTTGATGGCGACTTTCTTCGTCGACCAGCTATTGAAGAATATTTGCATGGTATTCTTGAACCATTGCAGGACTGGGCCCAATATTCGAAGGTAAATTTAGAGTTGTTACGAGGCAGATTGGTTACAAGCTCCCTCTGCTCTTCCCCACCCATCCTTTTACTGCGGAATGTATGTTCGAAAACGAACTGCATTCACCTCCATGGAGTCTGGACTATTATGTGCGAGAAGATGGGTCCGCAGCTGCAGTAGCGTGCCACCTACGTCGCTCAAAACTGCTCGCGAACGGGAGTGGCGGGTAGTGTACCTGGGTTCCCTTTTCGGGCTCTGTCCTCATACCGCACGGCCAACCACAGTCAAACGCGCTACTTGTATGCGCCGTTTTATTTTTTGTTGTTCTCAAGCAGTGAGTGCGTGTTCGCTACAGAATCTTGGTATCTTCACAAGTGCTGCATCTTGAGGCGATAGCGGAGCGTGCATGGAAATGACACTCGGATATCACTACCCTGAAGCTCCGTTACCGTACACTTTTGACCAGAGAAAGTGGCACACTACTGCAGTTGCAGGTCCATTCACCTGGAAAGGACCCCTCCCCCATCGAGGGGAGTATACAGTTTCAACAGAATAATCAAGTGAGCAACGTCTAGCGTCATTTGTGCCTACCGCAGGTCTACGCATTTGAAGCTTTTTTTTGCGCGAAGCCCACTCGTACGCAAGAAACTATACTCTTCGCTCACTTTACTCCGATAGAACATGGCACAAAGATAGAGAAAGAAAGAATAATACATCCACTATTTACGTTTATTCTTGTGCTGAATAGTATTGAAATTGTGATACGATCTACATATTCAGAAGCAACAGCTGGTGAAAGCACTAGCGAAGCGATTGAAACATTGGAACCTCAGTGAACGTGAGCAGCCGTTGTGGAAAACGGACGATTACAAATTCGCATCGCGCTTGTGGTACTGTAAGTCAGTTCACATCTAGAACCGAGTCTGATGAGTTTGTCTCTAAATATGAGTAGTCTGACTTTACTTTTCTAGACCCTCTGAAAACGTTTTCGGACCGAGATCGTCCCTCACAGTGTCTTCCAGTGAAACTTTTGAGACAGCTGTCTCGACGATTTGACCACTTCTTCATGAACTATGCAATTCAAGCGTTTAGGTGAGAAACTCTTAACACCTTCCCAGTCCCCTCGAAAGGAGCTGTAATTTAGGGAACTTGTCGAGCTGTATGAAGACAAAGGTAACTTCCGATTACGTCGGGTACCAAGTTTTCCTGAAAATCTCTTCAAAGCTGTGAGTTCTTCGCGATTATTTTTTTGAAAAGTTTCTCAAAGGCAGAAGGCACGATAATTTAGTACTCGGTCTAAAATGGTAGCAGTGGTGCTATATAGTGGTAAAATAACGAAAAAGTCAAGTAAAACGACGTCTAAAGCCTGCAAGTGAAGCCTTGTTTCTACCGCCTCAACAAGCAATTGGCGACGAGTTTCCCGTTAGCACTGCGCCAATAACCGCTACGGTAGTTACGGGTACAAGTATGTACTTATACATCCACGCAACACCGCAGCCGCATCATATCAGTCCTTTCGCTTCATATTTGGTACTTAATGGAAGCAGACACAGGCGCATCAGCATCAGTCAGGACTGTGGGGGTGGACGTGTTGGTGTGCCGGGCAGTTGTGATACAGAATGCCGGGCGCTATAGCATACTTATTCCTTGGAAGATGGCGGCCACGTAGCGTAAATGCTCAGGGTCTCGTATTCTATCCTGCTGGGCGTCTTAATCCTACATGTCTTGGCGAGTTATCGAGCCATCTGCCTATGAAGGAGGCGAAATATGTATGCTCAAGATAGGTCTGCTTATCCACAGTGTTCTTCAGTTTTTTTTCACGCACTGCTGAATCGCTAGCGTCGCAAAGTATGAACTCGTCTAATTGTCATGATAACTACATTCAACGAGTTTTTCAGAGGCCAAAGATGACGCTCTCGCACGAGCAGCACGCGAAGCCCGCTCTTCACACTCCAACCACTTCAGCAACTGTTGAGAACGGTGCACTCTCCAATGAACATGGTCAGAAACTTCTGAAGCGATCTCATATTTCCCAAGAAGTCAATGAAGGCGAATGGGAAATCGAGTATTATAAACGCGTTAAAGAAGACTCTGCTCTTCCTGCGTATTTCAAAACTACTTTCGGGTTTGTTGTTTCCGAATATTCAAGGGATGTTACCATTCTCACTGAGGAGCTCTTTCAGGATTCTTGTGGCCAATAATCAAGATCTTCGTGATGAAAGAGCCTTCCTTCACTCACGTCTCTGTTTAACATAGCTAGGTTGTTATTGATAGGATGTTACTATTCATTCACTATTTTTACTTTTACGATTCTTTTTTGTTACTTTTTGACATATTCTAGCTAATAAAGAGAAATTATAATAAACGGCTGTTGAAAACAAGTGCCAGTGAAACGATGAAGAGACGGAACCGCCTGAAGATCACTTATTACCCTATTTTCTGAGGTATAAGGAGCATTCATTTCAAGGAAGGTAAGACGCGCACGATGAGCTAAAAGTTTCTGGACACGAGCGTTACTTCCGAGTCACGACGGAACGGACCTTGCAAGCAGGGTGGTCTGCGCAGCATTCGCACTAGGAGCCAGTCCGCTCGACGTAGCAGCGCTGCGGCGCGTTGACTCTGGCCGTGCTGTGGCTCTTACGACAACTAACTACGAAATACGTCTCTGCCACATTCCTGCGACTAGGAAACAGGGCCACGTCCTGTTGGTGCAGAATCTTGCAAAATACGAAACCTCTCGTAATATGATCCTCTGATATGATACATCCTTTCCCATCCTCCATCCTACCTCCCTGTTCCTGAATTCTCACCGCTTACTACCACTTTCTTGGAGTTTTTATCGAAATTTCTTCAGTTTTCCCCCAAAAACTGCCAGGGAAAGAGGACTTGAGACAGAGACATGATAGGATACAAATTACTCCAAAAGTAAACTATCACGTTTCCATTTATTCGCAGCCTTGGTAAACAACAAGCATTTATCGGGATTTCGAACAATTTAGCGGTCGCGTCCGCTGCGCTAACTTGTCTAGGAATGGGTGAGTGAAAGTACTTCTCATTGCCTCTTATCAGTCTTTATCACTCGCTATCCCACCGCCTCTGCGTGGCAGCTTGATGCATGGCGCATCCAGACGTGAAGCTAATAGAGTTCCACGAACTAGTATGTTAAGTATCTGCATGCGGCTGTGTAGGTACTTAGCATATTAGTTCCAGAGCTGAAGCCAGTAACAGGCATCATACGCATCACATGTGAGTCAATGATGTACTCACCCCGACCTCCCTCTTAAACAACTTGGCTGTGGGGACCAGGTGTTTGTCAAAATACTTTGCAGGCCAGACGTATCTTGAAAAAAACCAAAGAAGTTATAAGACCCATACCACCTTAGAGAAAGGCTCCACGCTGACTGGTTAGCAGTGAGTAACGCCTTCTTATTGGTGGTGTCTCCCTCCTTGATGGCAGACATGTGGGAACCAGTGTGGGAGGCAACAACCAGATGTCTTCGTGCCACTCGTGATCATCAAGGAACAGCGTGAATAATTTCCTGAAGAACTGGAGAGTCTTTTCGCCTTTTCCTTGGAATTCTCTAGCGCCAAAATCCAGTTTTGAATTATTTTCGTAACCTTCCATGGCAGCTACTCAGCGTGCTTCCTATTTAGAACAAAGTGACATTACGTGGAACAAGAAACCTATTGAAATAAGCCGTTCGAGATCAGCTGACGAAGCATCGGAGGAAGTGACAAGAAACGGCCGTATAGCAACAATGGGACATACCCACGATGTTCCGGACGCCGGAACCACGAACATCGCGGAAGCTGTACGCAAAGGGTGCGAATCCCACTATGTGCACGCTGCTGTGCAGGTACTTGTCATGTTGGTTTCAGAGCAGAAGCCTGGTAGAGGCCAAGTATCAGCGAAACTGATAGTGAGACAGTTGGAAAAGAGCGAAACGTTCCTATGTTTCTAGCACTTGTTATTAGCAATGTAGTAACCCTTATTATTATTCTGAAAAGTCTGTTTAGGGAGCGAGCAAGATTCCTGCCGTAAGTAACGCAGCGGGTCCGGTACTCCTTCCTGCAGCAGTCGCTATAGACTCGGTCCGATTGGGGATGTCTATCCAGCGGGATATTGACGAAGATAACGCTGTACCAAAAAACACCGTCAAGAGTGCATCTTCTATCGCTGGTGCATGGGGAGCAGGAATTGCCGGTATGTAAAAGTTTGTTCAAAGCTCGAGATCGCTACAGGATTTGCCCATCACGGAATCAGTTCGGGGTGTGTCAGCGGCGCATGCGTGTTTCGCAACGCTAGCCTTTATTCGGCACCACTTATTAGATCTCTCAACGCGCAACGATCGATAGAAAATGGGCTGGCTCCGCGTCGAAACCCACTTGTCGCTGACACGCCCCGATTGGCTTCAGCGATAATGACTGTAAACTCTGACAAAAACATCAACAATTCTGAGAAATGGGACTCTTCATCAATAGCTAAATACTACTAGGAAACCCAGAAGAACAAAAGTGGAAATGCACTTTCTCGACGCGAACAAAATATAAGGCGTACCTTGTGTAAGACGGACCGTGGGTATGCCGTTTGGACTCCAGCAATTTCGGCACCGAGCTCATTTTTAAATTGCCTAAGTCACCAAATCTGCTAAAAATTTGTATATAGGGGTAGTTTAACATCCTGATTAAGAATATGTCATTCGCTCTTGTCGCTGGCGCTAATGGATGACACTACGATTATCTTTGCGCTCGTACTAATGGCTGAGCCCTAGGGAGGTGATAGGTCCTCTCTTATGACGCCACGAACAAAGGTGAATTTCATTCTTCTTAAATCAGGATGTTAAACTACCCCTATATACAAGTTTTTGGCGGATTTGGTGACTTAGGCAATTTACAAATGGGCTGGGTGCCGAAATTCTTGGAGTCCAAACGGCATTAGCCCTGCCCTGGCTGCGGTTCCAATCCACGCACGGAGTCACACCCTATTATTTCAAGGAAAAATTGATCTAGAAACTCCTGCCAAACTCTATTTGAGTCCCTCAGGCTCTCTCCTTAGATGAAGGTCGTCAACTTTTGTACAAGCATTTCTTCTGTAGCTGCGGGTAATATTAAAGAATCATTTTCATTTTAGGGAAGGGCCGCTTGGAGGAAGCAACCGCCGGCACACTATAGTTCCGGATAGGGACCGGTTATTGGAGGAAAATTTTGTTTGTGTGTGGCGCGGTGCTGTCGGTGGTTCCATTTGCTGAGAAGAAATCGGGTCGAAAAAATCGTTGATAAATTGACAAGGATGATGACTCGTCGTCAGATGAAGATAGCACAAGTGACGAGGAAGACAAGGAAAAACGTACCGGCGACGAGAAGAACAAGGAAAAAAGTATCGAAAACAAGAAGCCGGGGACAAACCATTGTAGCCAATAGCCACTCTGCTGCATATCCGAAGATGAGGAAGGCGTGGCCTCACCGCTTTCACTTAGATTGTGTTGTGTGTGATCGTTTTTCTTCGGCTTTTCCTATTCAGGGAACAACTACCACAATAAAATATAATAAGTAATTTTTTATATTTTCTCCAAGTAGCAGCATCCCATCAAAAGGCATCCACCGCTATGTCCAGATGAAGCACACGGCCACGCCCTCTCCATCTCCAGGATGTGGAGTGTATTTACGCAGTCATTATTTTTGAAATAGTTTATCGTGTTATTTCCTTCTCTCTTCATCTGTTTTCCCTATCATCCACATTACTGGTCTTTTCCGTTGTAAAATACCTTTCTTCTCCTATCCATCGAATTTATAAACTACATGGAACTGGAAGCATTTTTCGCTGAAATTTTTTTTATTTTCACTATGCTCAAAGCTACTACGCAGCTTGTAAACTCGTGCGGCTTATATTACAGAAAACAGGGTGATTTCCAGATTTTCTACGTCTGGTCCTTTCTATGGCTGCATCGGACAAGAGCGTCATTGATGACAAAAAAGAACCCCTGTAATTGATCTCCACTATCAGCACGATCACGCCCTTATCAGTTCACTATAACGATCTTTGTTCATATTTCTTGTTCTCGATTTTGACTCACCTTATATTTGTCAGCTCATTTTTGCATGCTTTGCTCCTTTTTGCCCATTTCGCTTCTGAAGGATCACTTTACAAAGTGCAAATGACCGTTCAAAATCTGCCTTGGAATCAGTTCTTCGATCTCTGAATCAATTTTAATCTCCATTCGATGCTCAATTCGTATGCGTTTCTCCTTGTGCATCGTTGCGTTCTCCTTTCCTTTCAAGCCTCTCACTACTAATATTCTTCCTTTTGTTAAGTGAAGATGACACTAGTTGATATCGCCACAATCAGTCGGGGCGGAATGAGCCCGCTCTCCGCAGCTATTCCTACCAATAGTGATCGGTTAGGATCGATTCAGGATGAAAACAACCAGCGGTGGAAACGCTGCGGATGGGCTCAATAAATCCTTCTTGAAACCGCCCGAACTGATTGTGGCGATATCAGTTGTATGACTCCTAGCACATCTGTCCGTTGTAATGCAGTTTCATCGGAAAATTGTTAAGATAGAATATCCTTTTATTCTATTAAACAACTACCTTTGCGATTCGGTTTGTATATTTGTTATGTAGGGAGGTATGCTATGGTAGTGTCGTCGTACGCAAATGCTCACGAGTTCGAGTTTAGAGCGGGAGTATAAAGACGAATGCACGCCGGACTAAACCGAAAACCAGATTGCGGTGGGGCAGATGGCACCAATCCGCGAATGTTTGTGATTGGCGATAACAGCCTCGCATATAAGACAACGCATTTGAGTACATTGCGGACGCCATTGCAGCGAGCTGCTGGTGCAGCTTGACGTGTGCCTCGTGTGGGGGCAGGTGGATGGAGGCAAGGGTGGGCACCAAGACCCTCCCTCTGGTTTCGTCGTCCTGCGCGTGCTCAGCGACCTGAGCATTGGTTGCAAGTGAAGGAAGCAGAGGGGAGGGGTACAGTGAGGGGGAAGGCGTAGCGCCCGCTCAGATGGGATAATAGCAGGAGAGGAGGATACATCCGCTAGCTAAATTCTGGCAAGATATTCAAATATAAGGTAACAAAATACGGCCGTTGTTGCCATTGTGATGTATACCCTCACCCTATACAAGACAACAATTTAGTACACCTCCAAGCCATTGCTCAAGCTGCTCGCGTGGCAGCTGGACGTGAGCTCGCGCGTGGGTTGCTCCATCTATTACGATTCGATCAAAACAGCGCATTATGAGTA